GGGGGGGGGCGGCGGTGCAGGTGTGGGATGGTTCTTGAGGGCATGTCAGCGTGAACACACCATCAGAGTTTGAAGGCATAATGGCCACAAGCAAATATCTTCCGTTTGAAGGATGAAGGCATAGCATACCCTCATTCTTCTTCAAGGGCTCCAGGTTCTAGCTTCTTGCAAGCTACTCCTGTGCCTGGACAATGCAGGCGGGCATGTTCCCCAATGTCATGCAGCTGCTTGGCTTTCGCTTTTAGTGACAGCGTGTGAAGGGCAGCCAGTGGTGGGAGGTGACCTATAGATCTCATGTGTCAGCCACTCATGGAACATCAAGGGATGGATGGGTTTGGAAGGAAAAGCAACCTGAAGCAAGGGGTAAGAGTCGGATGCTTTAGTGAATTTTTGCTGTTCCCAACTCCAGACTGTCTCCTTTTTGTAGACCTTCACAACCACACATATGGTGAGAACATCCTTCTTTGTTTGTGACTCTGAAACAAGTGCACCTTGCCTTGTTTGAACATTTGGAAGGGAGCTGTATATAGCCATCACACTTTTGTGTGCAATGTGACCTGTTCTTTCGCAATTACGAACGCATTGCGCGCCATGTTTACTTTGAATGCTTGTTTCGCCTTCAGTGCAATCTTCGGATTTGTATTTGCTGTCATTGCCAGAGGATTCAGACCTGATGCAGTGACGCATATGATGTAGCTGATATGTATTTGCTAGTATCTGCCTGTGCCTCCGCCGCATTTGGATCCCTGGACAGTCCTGCTGGTCAGTTGGAAACTGTCATTGGTCAAAGCCCAGATCTCCAATCAACGCCATGAACCGATGTCGCTCCAGTCAGATTCCTCAGGGGCCGTCCAAAGCAAGCTTCAACCCGGTCCGAGCCGAACGGGGACCCGCCCACTTCCTATCAGCCGCGTTGAAGAAGCCCCCCTACAGCGTCGATGACCTCAAGGACACAATCTACTCCAGGACTGGTCTGTTGCGTTCCAGTTTTTGGTTAGGCACACAAGCCCAACTACGCCCTCCTCCAAATAGCTGAGCCCAAGACAAGATACAGATGTGCAAGGCATCAGATCGCCAAGCTGGGCCACCCGCAGCTCCTCCAGGTGATCGAAGTTGCCTTTGCGCATTTGGCAGAGCCAGAAGCTATGGCCGGCGTCCGGCCAGACGATGAGAATCTCCAAGGGCATCGATATGGGCTCTCTAAGAGCCGGTGGAGCCTCCTGGCTCTTGATGGCCAGCGAGGACAGCAAGCTGACAAGACGAAGAGGCAGGTGGATCTCCACCAAAATCATGGAAATCTACGTGCAGGAGGCGTGGGCGGTTCAGTTCCTCCCACGCCTCCCGGCAAAGGTGAAGTCGAAGATTCTCCAAGGTGTGGCACTTATTCCGTGGGCCCTCCAACTAGCCCTACGGTGGCGCAGAGCAGCCATTCCAGACTCGGCGTGGCCTGTTCTGTTTGAGAAAGCTGCGCGTGACTTTGAGCTGAAGTCCTTGGGAGGCAATGACTGGGTGATGGAGAAGCCGCTGACGCGGCACTGTGCACCAACCAGCATAGCATGTGAGAAAAA